TAGGGTAAATAATGAACAACATGAACTGATGAACCAAAACAGACCAGGAGACAGGATAAGCATTGATCAGACTGTCAAAACTCAGAGGGAAGGTAGGGGAGGGTGGGGTTAAAGGGAAAAGATCAACCAAAGGTCTTGTATGCATGCATATAAGCCTAACCAGTTTTCATGGGATGGGGTGGGGGCATGTGTGAGGAGGGGGTTGGGATGGGAATGGGGGGATGACAAATATGCGATACCTTATCAATAAAGAAATTAAAAAAAAAAGATGAAGCTCAAGCACAGCCCCTTCCGAGTTGCCTTTGAGAGATATAATCTGCACATCAGTCCTTGATAGAAACACATGCATTCTCACAACTGCAAACACTTCCATCACCCTATGTAAACACACAGAAGGCAAGTGTATTTCCTACAATTTGCAACATAACACTCAATTCCAGTCTTGGGTATGCTACTAACTACTTGTGATGTTTAGATTAGAATTATTTACTCTGTAAAATGAGGGTTTTGGAAGGAAAGAAAACATAAATTACTATCTTTCAGGAACTAGGCCAAGCAATTTATGAATAGTCCTTCATTTTATCCTTAAGTGTTATTATTTTACTTTTTACTTTATTTCATTTTGGTTCTCATAACTATGTTAAAATAAATAGTCTCATCCCCATTCTACAGGAGATTTTTTTAAATTGAGAGGCTTTGAAGGTGTTCTCTAAGTTTAAATGAAGATACTTGTTGTCATTTATTAATTAAGATTTGGTTCAACAGATAAATGTTTCAAAACTAGGGCTATAGGAATGAAACAAATAATGGAAAAGAAGTGAAAAGATAGGAATCCACTCAGTATGTTTTGAGTAATTAGAATTCTGGGGGCATCCCTAGGTATAGTTTTCAAAGACAATGTGATTATTGCTTCACCTACCTTGGCTTTTCAGAAATATTATATCTGAGAAAAATAATCCCATATTTTCTCATATTTTTATAGAATTCCTGTGCTCATAGCTTCACTTATTTGCCACAAGCTGATAGGGCCTCAATTTATATTTCCAGAGTAAATCTTGCTTTGAAATCCAGACCCAAATATCCAGCTTCCCACCTGGCATCACCACTGAAATTTTTCAAGCACAGCACGTCAACACGCAGGATGTTCACACCCCTTCCTCGCCACATTTCTCCAGCGAGCTACGTCTTTGAAAATAAAAATAAAATATATTTTTTCTCAACATAAGCCAGAAAACATGGAGTCTTCTGGGGCATCTCCTCTTTCAGCTGCACTGCTTGGATAGCCACACATCATCTCTTTTCCTAAACATAGTATTCTCACTTGTTTCCTCATGCTGTGCACATCACCTATTAGTGCCCATCAGCTCCTTCTCTACAAAGCAATCTGTGTAATCTTTTAAAAATTATGGTCTGTGCCCTAATTGGTTTGGCTCAGTGGAAAGAGAGTTGGTCTGCGAACTGAAGGGTCCCGGATTTAATTCTGGTCAAAAGCACCTGCCTGAGTTGTAGGTTTAATCCCCAATGGGGGATGTGCAGAAGGTAGCTGATCAATGATTCTCTCTCATCACTGATGTTTCTATCTCCTTCTCCCTTTGTCTCTGAAATAATAAAAATATATTTTAAAAAAATATGATATGTTTATGTTAAATACCCACCTCCCCAGATACGAACAGTGGCTTCCTACTACTCTTAAAAAAACTACTACAAATATTTCTCATGTGGCTACTCTTTATGATTCGGGTCCTATTTTCTCTGTAGCCTTATTTTGAATGATTCTCTCCTTATTCTCCATTGACATAATGGTCATTTTTTAGTTTCTTGAACTTATTATGTACCTCTCATCAAAAAACTCTTTGCAAAATATATTCTAGTCTTCTGAAACACCTCTACTATTTCTCTAAATACTCATGCTTCAAATCTTGATTTAAGATACCATCAAAGATTTTCCCAGAGTCTGGAGACTAAATGAGGTCTCCCTAGTTTAAATGAATCTTCGGTAAGAGGATATTTTCCCCCCAAAATGGCAGTGTGGTTATCCAAGTTAAACATTAGTATTCCAAAGTGAGCCACTTTAGACATGGTTCAATGAAATTAACCGATGATGAGAACCACCAATAAAGAATTTAATCAAGATTAATACCTTCATTTTAAAAGGTTGATAAGGTGGGTGAGCACATTAATGATTTCATCCATTAAACCTTTTGGTGCTAAGAATTGATGTCCTTGTCTTATCTAGGCAAAGAATTTTTTATTTCTTGGCAGAAGCAAGATTTATAAATTGAACTATAGTAGTCATTTTTCTCAATTGACAAAAGGCACAATTTTTGCCTTGAGCCCTTGTCTATTAGCTCATTGTACATTGGGCTGTTCCTAAATCAGTCAGTTTAATAGGGGTGGGGGAAAGATTAATTATCAGAGACCCTCCTTCCCATTAAAAAATAGATTTATTACCACTTGAATACCAATAAACATAGATTAAATGCTGTTTAGTACAAATAAAATGCCTTGTAAAACATTATCTATAGTATAATTATTTTCGTTAAATATATATATAATGTTATAGTTTTAAAACTACAATAGATGTAACAAAATATGGAGCAATTAATTTTCTGTTCTCTTTTTTGCTTGTTTATATTTCTTTGAACTATATATAGGATGGAGCAAAAGTAGGTTTATAGCTGTTTATATGAAAAATAATACAATAGTTAATAAATAATAATATAAAATTAACCTCTGTGTTTCGTATACTCACAGCTATAAACCTACTTTTGCCCAACCCTGTATAATGAATAAATAACACTTGGGAATAGAACAATATAGAAGTTAAAACAAAAAGACTAATTCATAACATTTTAGGACTTGAACAGAATTGGGGGTTTATTTGTTAAGCCAGTTTCTAATTACTGGAGGTAATGTAGGCACACATACAACTAATCTTCTTGAATCCTCTCTTTTCACATTTCTGTCTAGCAAAATAATAACGATTCTTAAACATCCAGCTCATATATACAAGGCTTTCATATTTCTGTTATAGCATGTCTCATGCTTCTCACCAATTAGAAAGTTCTCCAGTAGTATAACATTAGTCATGAGGAGGAGAAAGAAGGGGGTTGGGATGATGACAGTTTCTGCTCACCAGCTGTCAAGCACTCAAGTCATGTATCCCAGGTTATTTTAATTAATACTCAGAATACCTTCATGTCATAAATATTATTCTGATTTTGGAGATGCAGAAAAGGAAAGTCATACAGGTTAAGTAATTTTACAAGTTTTCTTTGTCACAACCAACAAAAGTTAGGTTCTCACAGTTTCATGTTTCTCCAAAACTTGACATATGGTAGGTACTCAGTCAAAATATTTAATAATTGAGCAATTTAAGGAGCAATCGATATTTTCAGTGTTTATCTGTGGCCTGAGGGTACCTCAGTTAATTCACAATTAAAAATCAACTTTGACCAGAGTTAGCATTTAAGTCCAGATTCCCTATGCAAATATAAGTGTTTTCATTACAGAAAAATGATCACCACTCTTGCTGTCTGGCCTCCTTCTTCCCTATTTTATTGTCTTTTAAACTGTTCAAAATGTGTGTGTGGGTGTTTTTGAAAACTTTTTAAATTCCTGTTTCAAAGCATCACCTTCTTAAAAGACTCCATCCTGTGATCATGTACTAGCCTTTTATCTCCTACGTTAGACTAAGTAAAAACAGCTTACTTATTTTTCACTTTCATAAAAACCATCACTTCGAATAATCCCTTTGGAAATGGATAGGACAAATATTATTACTTTGATTTTAAGGATGAAAAGGTTAAGTCTCCATGAGTTTCAGTGATTTGCTTCAAGTCACACCACAGAGCTATGACTCTTGGGAGTTGTCTGACTCTAGATCTAGTGTTCATCCTTCTGTGGTACATAGCCTGATAATCCAAAGGCATTCTCCTTGTCACACTCTAATGACCCACTGTAAATCCTGCCAGAGCTTCAGCTTCAACTTCATTCTCACTGGACCTTTGTGGTCTCTTAATATTTTGGCTATTGCTCCAGAATTTTTAATTGAATGCAGGTATAACTAACTTCCCTGATTTAAACAGGAAAAGACTTTGCTGAGAGGATACTGGATAGGCCAAGAAATCATGGAGAAGCAGGTTCAAAAGCAGGTGGGAATAAGGGAGGAGGGCAGCAGCCAAGTCATCTGCTAAAATGATACCAGAGATCAAAGGGTACCGCTGGACAGTAAGTAACTTTCCTGGTAGCTCTGGCCTTGCTGACCCTAAAACCTGGATGTTGTTATTGCAATGGCCATTGACCACTACTCAACTGTTTCTTCAAAAGTCCTTGCTTCTTTGGGTCAGTACGTGTTGTTTTAAAGTTTTGGATGGATATATATTATTGGCTGATTATTGATCATGTGGTTAAACTCTAGCTTGGAAGGAGTTGGGAAATCAAGTAAGTACTTTTAGCCTCTCATGGGAGATGAGCTTTTTCTCCTCCAAGATTCATTAAGCATATACATCACCAAGCATAACAAGAGGGTTGAAATAATGAAAGGTCCCCACTGTGACAAAAAAAAAAAGACCAATAATTAATAATTCCATTATGAATTTCAATTTAGTTTTGTACATACTTTCTTTGGGCTAACTTTTTTTGACACGGGAACATATTTAATTTATAACTATGACTCAATTGTCACTCAACCAATAATTACCCTTGTTCTGCAGCATTTTGAAGGATCTAAACTTGTCATGTAAGTTTCATTTATCTTCTAAAAAAAATTCCTGTTTCAAAGTTTTCTCTAATATTTCTTTCAAACGAATGCGTTTCATCAGGGCCTGACAGCATGAACTGGTGCTTTGCAGAATACTTTCAAAAAATGAAAAATATCTTTGGCATCTTTCCATGTCTTGGGATTTTTAAGATATGTCTTATTATTTTACTTTAAGAAATCCAAATATTTCCTTTATAAATGATATGTTTATGAGTCTGAATAATCCTTTCCTCTGCAGTATTTTTGAGCAGTGGCTCCGAAGGTACCGTCCTCTTCAAGAAGTTTATCCAGCAACCAACGCACCCATTGGACATAACCGGGAGTCCTACATGGTTCCTTTTATACCCCTCTACAGAAATGGTGATTTCTTTATTTCATCCAGAGACCTGGGCTATGACTATAGCTACCTACAAGATTCTGGTAAAGTTTAATTTCTTTCATATAAATTGCTGAATAAAGTGTGACCAATTTCTTTTGCGAGAATACAAAACCTTATGCTTGTACAATGTTATCACCCACTACTTTAAATTGGATAAGTGCATTGCAGCCCCAAACTTATTACCCATGTATTATTATATTACATGAACCAAGTCCCAAGAATATTTCAACTCATATTCATTCTGCTTAATATGCATTTCATACATGAAAGCCATAGAAAGAGAATAAAATTAAAATCAGTGGGGAAAATGGGCTTGAAATATGACTAGCTGCTTACTGTTGTATGACTTCAAGTCCATGAATCTATCTTTAACCTGAAATACTGGGATCAGAATATCTCATACAATTGTTTTGATTAAGGAGCCTACTGCATGGAGCAGTTTTGAAATCATCTTTGGGAAATTCCTGCTGGGTTACCTAGAAAAAACCTGGACATTTTATTGTTTAATCCCAAATCCTAAATAATAAATATGTAATGTGCAAATTGACCATCACTCCAACACACAAGATGGCCACCCCAATGTGGTCAAAGATGGTCACCCCCGTGTGGACACAAGATGGCAACCATAAGATGGCTAGCCTGGGAACACAGTTGTGGGCGATCAGCCTCAGCAGGGGAGGGCAGTTAGGGGTGACCAGGCAAGCAGAGGAGGGAAGTTGGGGGGCAACCAGGCCTGCAGGGGAGGGGAGTTGGGAGAGACCAAGCCTGCAGTTGGGGGGACTCCAGTCCTGCAGGGGAGGGCAGTTGGGGGCAACCAGGCTTGAAGGGGAGGACAGTTGAGGGGGACCCAGGTCTACAGTGGAGAGCAGTTGGGGGGACCAAGCCTGCAGGGGAGGGCAGTCAGGGGTGACCAGGCCAGCAGGGGAGGATAGTTAGGGGTGACTATGTCAGCAGGGGAGTGGTTAGAGGGTGATGAGGCAGAAGCGGTTAGGCAATTAGGCAGGCAGGCAAGCAATTGGGATCCAGCAGTCCTCAGTGGGATTGGGCTAAATGGGCAGTTGGACATCCCTCAAGGGGTCCCAGATTGGAGAAGGTTTCGACAGGGCTAAGGGACACACATACATACCCCCATGCATGAATTTTTAAAAAAATATATTTTATTGATTTTTTACAGAGAGGAAGGGAGAGAGATAGAGAGCTAGAAACGTCAATGAGAGAGAAACATCGACCAGCTGCCTCTTGCACACCCCCTACCAAAGATGTGTCCACAACCAATGTACATGCCCTTGCCCGGAATCGAACCTGGGACCTTTCAGTCCGCAGTCCGACGCTCTACCACTGAGCCAAACCAGCTTCGGCCCTCCCGTGTATGAATTTTATGCACCAGGCCTCTAGTAATAATAATAATAATATGCTATGATTAAGATAGAGATATAAAACTCTAGAATTGTAATTAGATCTGGGTTTTAAATACTCTTTTTAGTAGATCTATATCAGTAATTCCTTGATAATGAACAGATAGTAATATCTCCCCTCACTCGAGAGCTTGCTACATGCCAATTCCATACATGCATTAACCAACCTTATATTAGGTAAGTATCATTATTACTAGAAAGAGGTGAGGATACTAATATGAAGAGAATTTAAGTGACTTTTCCAATATTAAACACCAATATGTGGAGGAGTCTGATATCAACTCTGTACTATACAATGCTTCCACTTTAAGAAGGTCAACATTCAAAAGCTGTAAAACAGCATGGGGTTTGTGGGGAAGAGGTATTCAGCAAGCACTGACATTTTATTATATTTATTGATAATTTGTGAAAACATAAATGGATAAATAAAATGAACGAATTAGTGACTTTTATCAACTTCTTACCTCTTGATCTATACTTTAGGGACATAATGACTGACCTAGTTCTAGACCTCAAAGAACTCTAAATTCAATGTGAAAGTCTGACAATTGTGTAAGAAAGCATGAGACACAGGCTGTGTTAAGTATAGTAAAAGAGCCATAACCTTCACAGAGAAGAAAACAAGGACTACTGAGTAGTTCCATCTAGTAAGACAAGACAAGGCCTTGAAGGAATAACAGGAAGGTTGTAGATAAAAAAGGGGCAGGGAATACTTTAAACTAAAAGGAAGCAAGAAAAATAAAGGTGGAAAGTGACATCATATGTATTGAGTGCTAAATTCCCTTATTTGAGGAGTATGAATTATGGGCATTTACACTGAGGAGCTAAATGTAGTTATTCCACAGTAGCTAACAAATCGTGCTTTTTATGTTCCAAAAACTCCTCTAGGTGACTGTGTTTATTATTTCCTTTAATATTCATAACCACCCTATGAAGTAGGTACTGTTATTTTTTTTTTTTTTTTCCTTTTCAAGGTGGAAAACAGAGGCTTAAAGAATATAAACAACTTGTCCTAGGGCCATCCAGTATGTGGCATAGCAAAACCACACTTTAGGGCCAACAAAAGAATGTGCATGTTATCCTTTTTCCTCTCCTTCGGGGAACCACTAGTTGAACAGATATGAGTTCAACTGACCTATTTTGGTGTATCTGAATATCATAGCCAATGGAAGGCAGGCTGGAATGGCTGGCAGAGAAGATCAGATCTTTGAAAAATCTTAAGAGAACAGGATATTTTACAAACTGTAGAGGTGTGGTGAGTGGGGTGGGTAAAAAAGAAGGGCATGTATTGCGTTCCCTTTCTTGTATAAATACCCATAGTACATAATGAGGGCAGCATATTGATAATGGCTTTCCAGAGTAACCACTTAGGATTTTATGATTTCCATTTTTTAACATGCCAGACTCTTTTATTGACTCATGTTTTTCAATATGCTCTTCTCTCTGGCTAAATTCTGATGCTCTTTATTTATCTGCCAAATTCTCGGGTATCAAATCATTTATATATATATCTATATATCTATCTATCTATCTATATATATATATATGTGTGTGTGTGTGTGTGTGTGTGTGTGTGTGTGTGTATATATATGTATATGTATATATGTATATATGTATGTATATAGCGCCATGTTTATTCATTCTTTTATTAGAGTTCCTAAGGATAAATCTTTCCCTTCTCGACCTTGGCTGGGAGCCCTACAATATCAGAATTCATATCTTGAAAGCTTTTTCTAAGTACTAACTAGTACCTGGTATTGAATGAAATCAATGAATTAGTTTGAGTGTAAGTGATGTTTATCATAAAGGGTGGTATCTCTTAACCAATATAAGTAAAGCTTGTAAGAAAAATGTCATCCCTCTTAATACCCAGTTCATTTTTAGATATGTATTTTTACATGTGTCAAGTCTTCTATTACACTAGGTTTGTTTTTTTCTTAGTGGTTTTATTGATTAATTAATCCTTTGTGCATACATATGTTCAATAACTACCTTAAAAAAGATATAGTCTTAGATACTGTAGATTTAGTGTCAAATAACACAGCCTCTATCTGTACAGTGCTTACATCCTAATGCAAGAGAAAGGCCTTAGACAACTACTTACCTAATGACTCATTTAGAGATGTCCCATTTCTAGAGATCAACGAAGCGACCTTTCAGAGGATATCAGTATGAGAGGAAGAATTAATTATTTGATAAAGGGCTCCTCTCGATTGTGGATTTTGGCCATAATATTAGAATATGGGGAGCCTTAATAAATTTTAAACAGATCATGGGTCTGTTTACAAAAGATCACTGTTCTTGCAGCATATGGAAAGTTTGTAGCAATAGCAAAGCATGTTTAGGGAGGCCAGGGAAAACACTATTATAATGTCCACGGGGAGATGAAGGCAGTTTGGCTTGCAGTGGTGTTGGTAGGAAAAGAAGTGGAAAGCACTGAAGAATTTGACATTATTTTGAAAAGAAAATGTACATAACTTGAAAAAAAGGATTTTTACACGAGTTGAGAAGGAGCGAGATGCTAGGGTTGCCTCTATGTTTTCTGGGCTGTGAAACTAATGAATGGTAGATATCATTCACTGAGATAGTAACAATAGGAGCAGTGCCAAACACAGAAGGATCCTCATGGTTGCTTTTCTTACATAGTGAAATGGAGTGATATGAGATAGCAGGGAAAGTAAATTGTTATGTCGATTCTATTCTGTTTGGTAGGTGAGTAAGTTGAGACCAGAAAGATAAAGTGACTGATTTTAAGTCACAAAGCTTGTAAGTAACAAATATTATATTCCAAACCAATTATCTCTCCATTATTCCATGGGAGAGAAGGTTCTCCTTAACCCATCCATGTCTTTCACACACATGTTCCTCCTATGGCTCCTCCCCTCACGTCCAAATGGGTACCTTTTGCTGAAAGGCAACCAAACCTATTGGAGGAGTAAAGGAAGAGGAGACTCAAGTCACTAAGGGCTCAACAGTATCTAACATTTATTTCTAAATTTTTTTAAAATAAAAGAATCATATTTACTATATAGCCTCTATTTACTCTGCATTTTGTCAGATATCTTCAATGCACTATATATTAAAGTGACTAATAGCAACATATGTTAAGAATTTGCAGTCCCATTTTCAAAATAATTTTAAAATATATTAAAAATTGATAAAGTTTTCACATTTAAAAAAAATTTTTCTTTTACCTTTGTTTGCTTTCATTGTTTAAATTACTATAATTCCAACTTATACATTTTTAAAAATAATTTAATTCATGTGTGCAAGTGATTGTCCCTTCCTGATGAGAAGAAACACTAAGTTGCAATATTGTTCAAATTATGCTTAATAAGTTCTAAGGCGTTTTAGAGGTGTCTTAGTGACAGGGGGCAAAAGGACAGTGCCTGGGAGAAGAAAAATAGCAGAAGTGGTCAGGGTTTTAGCCCTTTAGCCCCACTTACACTGAAGGAGCTGCACTTTTATCTTCTGTGAATGAATATCGAGCTTAATTAGTTTTTAATAAATTCCTCTGATTAAAAAACAATATCCCTGTTTTAAATTTTTCTGAGGCTTACTAAGTTTATGGTTAACAGTGAGACTCTCACTTTAAATTTTACTTCATGTTGCTACCCATTCTTTCTAAGATTAGTTTATTAAACAAAAATTCCTTTTCTCCTTGGTTTGTGGATCTCATTTCTACTTTATATAAGTCTTACATATAATTGTAACTCCAGAATATGTGAAGATATTTCTCTGTCTTTATTGTAGTTGGCATATAATTAACTTTTTAAAATAATTAGAACTTTTTGAAATTCAAAAGGCAGAAACTCCATAGGAGTTTCTGTATAATTTACAGATTATATATTATCTATATCCTCTACAACATTCCAACAAGGTGATATTATTGTTTTCTTATTTTCATAATAAAGACACTAAGGCATAGGACTATTAGGTATAACCTCCCTAAGCTCTTACAGCTGGGAAGTAGCAGGGCTGACTTTCAAACTCAAACATCTGGCTCCTAAAGTATTATGCAAGGATGACAAGGATGATGATGATGACTATGATGATGACGATGATGATGATGACCACAACAGTTGTAAAACCTTGAATGTCTTTCTATTTCAGATCCAGACTTTTTTCAAGATTATATTATGCCCTACTTAGAACAAGCGAGGAGGATCTGGCCATGGCTCATTGGGGCAGCTCTAGTGGGGTCTGTCCTCACTGCTATGCTGGGAGGGCTCATTGGCCTGCTGTGTCGTCGTCGAAAGAGAAAGCAGCCCTCTGAAGAACAGCAGCCACTCCTCATGGAAAAGGAGGATTACCACAGCGTATTGTACCAGAGCCATTTATAAAAGGCTTAGACACTAGAGCAGGGCCAAAAACACTGTTCAAGTCCCCAGGGCAAGTCCTAACAGAAATCCTTGATATTTGTCTGTGAAGACCATTATCTGAATTATAATCTAATACAAAGTACACCCTTCTTCTATCTCAACACATTCGTGATGGCCTTGCTGGTTTTTGTTCGTCCTTTTGACAATTTCCCTCAAGCCCCATATTTTCAAGGAAAAAAAATGCTATTTGGTCATTAATAACTGTTGCTTGTATCTGGATAAACTTATAAAATGATAAAATGTGGGAATTCTTTTAATTCTTTCCTTCTCATTGTTTAATGGTATTTCTTTTTTATTGTCTTTGACTTTAATAATAAAATAGTAACAAATTTATATTGAGTTCTTTGAGCTTGAGAAAGGCATTTTTATTTTTCTCAGAAAGCATAATATTTCCCTTACATTTTATAGTCCTGCTCCAAAATGTTTATAAACATCAAGTATAAAAAAACCTTCCACTCTTTCCTGCCATAATCATGACTATACTTTTGAAGGTCACTGAAAACAAGGGCTTTGCTCTTCAACAGATCTGGCTACATACCTGTTTTAAGATGTGCTTGTTAAATATGTTGGCAGTAGAGGAGGCAGTAGATAGGCATGAGCAGAGCAGGAACAACAGGCCAGGCACACAAAGTCACCAGGGCAGAAAACCCTAGGTATCTGGCAACTAGCAAAATTGGAAAGATAAGACCTCTCTCCCAGGTGACCTTCCTCCTCTGGCATACTGCTCATCACACAGTACAGATCCCTGACTTTTCATCTCACGGGTCATGTGATTCAGACCCTCTCCTGACCTTTCCTCCCCTAGCATGTGGCTAATCATGTGATAGACCCATTAGAGGAGAAACAAGGGGCCCAAAGAATAGCCTCCTAAAATCTCCATAAAGGCCCTTGCACAATCACTCCCTCAAGCACTAAATCCTCAGAACAATGAGGTTCTGACCTGCGTCAAATAATCTTAAGAACAAAGCCTCTGGTCTGTTGACCACAGAGACTGAGTTTTAGACAAACTAGAGATACCATTTAGGCCTCAGTTGTGTTTTAGCTTCAGTTCCAAAAAAGCAGCAAAACCAGAGGAAGTGACACCAGGGCTGACATCAGTGCCGCATGACTAATGACCCCTTACCCTAGTGCCAATCAATCGGAAGAGACCATGATCCTGAGAAAATATACCTGAAAAACTGATGCATTCTCTCTGGAGAATACCTGTGCCTTTCCCCTTTCTTCCTGATGAGTACCTTTATTCTCTTCCTCCTAAGCTCCAAGGGCCCTTCTTTTTCCTCTATAATTTGTTTCATGAGCCCACATACCCAGCTGGCTCACTTCTTCCATGGTTCACTTTTTCTACCTCTGTGACTTTCTAAATAAACTTTTGCTGGGTATTTGAGTCTTGGCTCTGAATGCTTTCTTAGCCAAAACTCTAAGACCAAGGTTGTTGAACCAAGGTCTAGGTCTTGCTCCATTTCCTTGCTAACAACAATGACAATAATAATCCTATTAAGAGCCTTTTTGTCTCTTAAGAAGAATTTTATTTAATTAGGTAATGTATAAAATGCTACAAAACATTTCAAAGTTGAGAACAATTACATGAATATCAGTCTGTCTGTAATTGTAGTTAAATAGCATTACTATTTTTCTTAGCTATTAAGACCCTACATTAGGATGTCTAGATAATCCTGCTTTTTGAATTCAATAGGGACCAGTTGAATTTCTAAAAATACTCCAATTTATGTGAGGGCCTAGAAGAGGAGGGAAGGAGAGTGGGCTGAAAGAGTTTTATGGGGTAAAAAGGAGGACCTATGTAACTTTCAACAATAAAGATATCTTATTTTATTTATTTATTTATTTAAATATATTTTATTGATTTTTCACAGAGAGGAAGAGAGAGGGATAGAGAGTTAGAAACATCGATGAGAGAGAATCATCAATCAGCTGCCTCTTGCACACCCCCTACTAGGGATGTGCCCGCAACCAAGGTACATGCCCTTGACCGGAATTGAACCCGGGACCTTTCAGTCCGCAGGCCAACACTCTATCCACTGAGCCAAACTGGTCCCGGCTAAAGATATTTTTTTTAAAGATAAGAACCAATAGATAGAAGTTATAAATGTGCAATAAAAGGAAAAACTATCCAATACTCAGAGCTTTCCAAAACCAATATCAACATTCTTGGAAAATAGTAAGTGGATGCCACTGTAATTTTTCACATATACTTTGGGTGGCTAATTCAACAGGAATTCTATAAAGAGACTTTAAGTATTCAGTCTATGGTAATCCTTATTTATTTTTAAATTAATAAATATTTTATTATATTCAATTCCCTTCTACCTAGTTTGTATTCATCTGCTCAGCATTTTATTTTTTTCTTTCAGTTTGACTACTTAATTTTCAGTGTCATCTCTGAACAATGTCTTTCCACTCTGAATTCCATGCTTTAAAGACAGAATGATCCAATCCAAGCTCCCAGAAACCTGTGAGGGTCTGGCACCTGCACCTCTGCCTCTCTGGGAGTATGTTTAAGAGAATACACCTGTATGGTACCTTTCACCTAACTTTTCTACAATCCCTGTGAAGTCTGAAGTTTAGTGTTCAGAGTACTTATAAATGCATTTAAAAAGAAATTGACTGGGGAAAAAAATGAGCTCTTGAAAATGCCTGATCTAAACCAAGATCACATAATTTTAAATAGTTACAGTTCACTCAGTCCCAGTTTGAATTTCAAAGAAAAACAGACATCATCCTATCATATACATGTGATTTTGGCTAATTTTCATCTAGAAACACAGAAACTTACAAATATTGCTGGTGTGATATCACTGACTCTTAGAAATTACTAGTAGCTAATGAATTCAGTCATAGAGCAGTATTCCTCTCCTAACTCTCATTAGTTGTCAGACTTACCATTGGCAATTTTGTTTAAATTCTGATGCCTATTGGAGAAAAGTGAGACATGGGATGAGGAGCGGCATATTTATTAACTCAGTGGGATCTGTGGGACGAGGGCAAACACTGGGAGTTCTATTCTCAACTTTGTGCATAACCAGAAAAAAAACACAAACAAACATTTAAAATAAATTAGCCATGGCATCTGAGGAGCAGATTCAATTTAGAGAGCAATTGGAAAAATAAATAAAACAGATAATGAGTGGGAAAGGGAATCTGGGTAACAGTCTGCAGAAGATGCTGGAGAAAGAGTAACTGAATGTGGTTGCCTTCATTCTAATCTCAGAACACAAGTACTTAGGTAGGTTTGACTTGAAGATGAAATTTTAGTCCAGGGGGTGTTTATACAAAGCATCTTGAATATAATCCACTCAAGGAATTTTCATGATCACAGACAGAAATCTGTATAAAGTCATTCTTTTCTCTATCTCAAGGCAATTCCCACCTTTATCACTGCACTTCAACAGAAAATACTGTTTTGTTTCTACAGAGGAGGGGTGGGGAACCTTTTTTCTGCCAAGGGTCATTTGATGATTATTTATAACATCATTCTTGGGCCATACAAAAGTATCAACTTCAAAATTAGCCTGCTATATTTGGTCAAATATTTAATTAACTCCCACTAATGTCTTGGCAGGACCAGACCAAATGATTTTAGGGCCTGGACCTTCTCACCCCTGCTATGGATGCTCAAGGTAATAGGTATAGTAGCAATCTATAAATCTATAATAATAAAAGCATGATATGCTAATTAGACCTGATAGTCAGACAACCTTCCAGACAAAGTCAGGGCTGTGAGGGTCGAACCCCTTTTGTGAATTTCATACACCGGGCCTCTACTATTTGCTATGAAAGCACACCACATTTGATACCTTGGTTTCTTCAATAAGATATCAAAATTACATGAGTGATATTTCAAGACACCTGACAGTTTTACTTAATTCTAATTAACATTATATTCTGTGGCTTTGTTTTATAATATCAGCTTTAATAAACTGATCCATTTTTGGCTCTGCCCTTTTTCACATTATAAGTCACATTTGTCACAGAGAAAGAAATAAGCAGCTGCCACTTTTTTTGTTCCTCCTTCTGTTTTACATTAAAAAAAAAAAAAAAAAAAAAAAAGGATTTTTAGTGCCCAACCTTCCCAACATGTCAAATATATAATTTTCCAGATGTAAAAATAAATATGTGATGGGTACAAGTCATTTCAGCCACTGTCTCTAGCAGGCTGACAAGTGGCATTGATTGTGAATGCGTTAAAATAGCCTCTTCCTTGTTTATGTGGGCTTTGATTTGTGGGAACACTTTCCTTTGTCACCATAAAAGGGCCTCATTGGGGCCACCTATTGTGAGCCAGTGCTATTTTGGAGGATGTATCAGGAGAACAAAGTTCCACTCCCCTCTGGTAAAACTCTTCTGAAAGCTGCTGAAATGCAAGTAAAAACCGGTTTTTGCTTGTTTGTTTGTTTTAACTTTATGTTGTTTATTTTCAAAAGCATTTGCTAGTTTGTACAAAATAAAGAAGATAAAATTGCCTATGGCGGCTGGAGGCCTTAAGGACTTCCAAATCATTAAACTATTACACTTTTAAATAGGGATAGTTTAGTATCTTCTTTTAAATAAAAGCATTATTAAAACTTTGGATTTGAATCCAGCTTCTCTTAGATCCATGGTGGGCAAACTGAGGCTCACGAGCCACATGTGGCTCTTTGGCCCTCTGAATGTGACTCTTCCACAAAATACCACGGCCTGGGTGAGTCTATTTTGAAGAAGTGGCGGTAGAAAAATTTAAGTTTAAAAAATTTGGCTCTCAAAAGAAATTTCAGTCGTTGTACTGTTGATATTTGGCTCTGCTGACTAATGAGTTCGCCGACCACTGTCCAAGATGACTCATAAATTTCATTGTTGTTTGTATTCAATTATGTTGATGTGTCATAACTTATCAGGTTCTTGCTACTAGATAGTTAGGCTTTACCTAGCTTTTAAATTATGTTTAGTGTTATAAGAAATATCTTGGTACATTTAGCATCTGATTTCTCTTAAATTATTTTCCAGTGGTATGATCTCTGAGTCAAAACATATAAATAATTTTATGGCTTTTCTAATAAATTGCCACAGTACTTTTGAAAAGGATTGAGTGGATTTAAAAATGCAAAGAAAATTCTAAAAATAAGAGATCAAAAGGAATAAAGAAGAAAATGAAAAGATGAAGGAAGACTTGCAATTCTCTTTGCGAGGAGCTAGAGATCCTAATTGGAGTTTGAAATACTGCTTACTTTCAGAAATATATAATGAAATATATTTAATTTTTATTTATACTTTCATAAATATATAATGAAATAAATATAATTTAATGAAATATATAATTTTTCAAATTAAAACATTAATTTGCTGGATACTTTCCCCCTCACTAAAATTAGAAGGAAATTCAGACAGAGGCCGTCTTAGAGAGATAGGGAATAACATGATATAAATTGGTCCCAAAAGAAGATATTTCCAGAAATGAATACATCTTGGCTAGGTAAAGAGGTATGTGCTCCTCGAGAATTATGCAGAAATAAGAACAGTAAAATAAAAAACCATCCTTGGAAGAATAAGCACAGGGCAACAAAATAGTGTGAATCAAAGCAGAGTTGGTTTCAGCTGTGGGAGATTCACAGAGACCACGTGACAGGGGTCTAGAAGTACCTGAAAACAACCCAAGTTTGACCACCTTATTTGTGTTGCTTTGTGAACACAAACTGCACTCTGCTTGGGATTTGGCCAGGCTTCCTTATTAGATCATGTCATTTTTATTTTTATTTATTTATTTATTTTTAATATATTTTATTATTTTTTTACAGAGAGGAAGGGAGAAGGATAGAGAGCTAGAAACGTCAATGAGAGAGAACATCGACCAGCTGCCTCTTGCACACCCCCTACCAGGGAGGTGCCCACAACCAATGTACATGCCCTTGACCGGAATCGAACCTGGGACCTTTCAGTCCGCAGGCCGACGCTCTACCACTGAGCCAAACCGGTTTCGGCAGATCATGTCATTTTTAAACACTCTTGCCACAGTAATTGTAAAGACTTGGATGTGTTTGTGGCAGTGTGCATGTGTTTGGAAATAAAGTACAGAAAGACTAAAACTTTTCCCCCTTTCTCCAATATCAAAAGGAACTTGGTTGCTGATTCAGTAACACTGCTACTGAAGTAAATGACCACAAACACGGTGGCATAAATGACACGGAT